AACGTATTTTTGAAGTCCCTACATGAAATGGAGAATAATTAGAAAGAAAAGCAAACATGTTTCTATGTGAGTTTTAGTGACCATACAACTAGATAAGTTTTGTTTTTATCACTTCCGAGTCTTTTAAAATCTTTAAAAGATTAAGTAATTAAATAAACCGTAAATACCTAAATTATGGTCATTATGTCACATGATTTATTTTAGATAATTTAGTATTTAAATATTTTAGTAACATGAACAACGATAAATTATTTATTTCCTTTTAATTGTAAGTACACCCAATTTATCCTTCTAATTCTCAAAGTACCCAATTGACAGCTAATCCGTGTGGTGACAGTTTAATGAGTAACTGAGTGTCACCGCCCCTATTGATCCCATGGGTATCGTAAGAGTCGACTAAGGGAGCCAACTACACAGGACAACAGTACTACAAAGAGAAGGAAAACTTGATACAAAGCCTAAGATACAACCCGTCTGGCTAGCTTTCTGAGATGGGGCCTATGTCTAGCAGTGGACTATTAAGGCTGTTGATGTGACGTGATGATAATAGCTAATATGTTTACGTTTCGGGATAAAGATGTAGCTAGGTGTATAAATTATATGCAAAGGAATAATTTCACAGAAAAATTTCAGCCTAAAAAAAGTCGAATGCATGTGTAACTGTGGCACTATATTTATATTATGGTAATTTTAGTGGAATATAATTTAGGTAAACACTAAGTTCACGAATCGATAACTGGTTTGACGTCAATATTATTTAGTCGGAAATCCCAGTGACCCAAAGCAGCCAATTATCATAATATTTATAATAAATAATCGGTGTGTTTAATTAAAAACATATTTTTTCTAATATACCCTTGGATAAGAAAAATTGATAAAATAGGTACTTACTTTATAACCGATATAGATACAATTAAAATATAAGTAATTAATTAACTAACACTGTAGTTTAAAAAACGTATTTCCTATAACAGTTACCAGTACAATAAAATATACAGTACCTATCTTCCAAAATGGTTTCATTTTTCAGCCGATGAATAATTGATTAAACTTGAAAAAAAACATATTCTTTTTTACCAGTTACTTACTATTAGTCATACGTCTTAAAAGAAAATGTAGCTCATAAACATCCTATCCTCATTCAACAGTCGTTCAAAAGAATGGTCCTTCGAGCCTTTTTTTTAAAAACTAGGTTAGGGTATGCTTTAACGATACGGTTGAACTTCGATTTTTTACGTGGTGCCTCCACAAACTAACTACTAATCGATATCAAAGTTCTGTAGAAAGAATTTGTCGAACTGTTTAGGGCTTCAAATATTCGTAACGATTGCTGCAGATGTTCGAATGGAAACCGGCTTAACGTGATCGGATCGCTCAAAAGAATTTAATGGTTATTATTAAAATTGTTAAACATGAATCATCAGCTGATTTTAGTCCTCTGCTAGACATAGGCCATTATAATTTCTTATTAATATTTAAGAGCAAAGTCGTGCGGAAAAGATCCGAAAATAGTCCGATATTGAAAATGTTCTTTTAAGGAAATAATATCTGTGTATTTTATTTCATGATTACCTCCATCATATACCTGTTTGTTAATCGTTATTTGTATTTATAATATACATTTATTAAGAGCTTAAATATAAAGGGTTATTGGGTGAATACTTTAAGGGGTTGTGGTTGCCATCATTTCTGATAGATTTCACTATTAAATACCATATCCCAAAAATAACCAAAAAGTAAGTTATAGTAGGCCGACCCCTTAAAGTATTTAGGTCGACTTACCCAGTAACCCTGTATAGTATAACCTTAGGTAAACAAAAACAGTATCTCATTCGAGTTCGGAATTCGGTGTCAATTGCAGACCTCACTTGGTCAAGTTTCAACAAGTTTCAAAAGCACTTACTGTAGTTTAGTTCCAAAGTGCCAAACTCTTAGCTTGAAGTGGTCCGACAAAAATAATCTTTACGTAGACGACTAATTATGAACAAAAATCCGTTGTCTGTAAAGTCGGTTTACTGACGATAGTTGAACGTGACAACGTCATAAGAAAATACTGATGGAATGGTTGCATTTTACGAAAACATGTACGAGTAAATGTATTGTTGTATAGCAGCTGTCCACACGGACGCATCGCTCACTCAAGTAGGAGAGAGAGAGAGATGTCAAACGCTGCCGAAGGCGGAGGCCGATTGTGCCTCTTTGTCGCTCGTTGCGCGCTCTCGCTTGCACTTCAAGCCTTAAATGGAACGCCTCAGAGCGAGGTAACGCCGCATGAGTCATGTTTTTTCGTGCGTGCAGCCGGCTCCATCGAATTATAAGACGTTGTCACGTCAAAAAAGGGGTTTGGCGGCGTTAGAACCTTTCTTTACAGTAATATAGTATAATATTTTCACACATTTCACACGGCCGTCTGATCCCAAACATACTTAAATATTTCTAAATACATACATATTATAGACTAGCTGACCCGCGCAACTTCGTCTGCGTCTCTCAATAGTAATAAATTTTCTCCGTTTTTGAAACATTCTTCATTGGTGCTCCGCTCCTATTGGTCTTAGCATGATGATATATAGCCTATAGCCTTCCTCGATAAATGGGCTACCTAACACTGAAAGAATTTTTCAAATCGGACCAGTAGTTCCTGAGATAAGCGCGTTCAAACAAACAAACAAACTCTTCAGCTTTATAATATTAGTATAGATGAAGTACACCCAGACGCAGAACAAATGACCGTGCTTATCACACAATTATTTGTGGGAATCGAACCCACGACCTCTTACGTAGCAGTCAGGGTCACTAACCAGTTGACCAACAGGTCAGTCAGTATTTTAAGGAACCCCATTTTACGTTATTATGTGCACTATCTCTGGGAAACATTCGTAATTTTGTCTCTTTGCCTACGGGTCCGTTCGACCGGAGTGACTCCAAGACCTGACAGAAAACCGGTGTTAAGCGACTTGTTTCGCACTTGTGTCTCTTGAGTTGCAGACATCGATGTTCGACGGTCATCACTTACCATCATCATGTGCTCGTTTGCCCTCGACTTATATAAGGGGTCAAAGTATTAGGGGTTGGCAGCGCAACGCGCCCTTTAGCTTGTAGAACGGGAACACCGTGGTGCCTACACACGAGGGGGTCATCTACATGCCGTAGATGGCCCAGGGTACGTCGGAGTTCCAGGGATTTCCTTCCTAGGGTACACCTGGCTCCCCGGCTACTGGTACCTGAGATGGCGTGCGGTTTTTAGTCGGTTAAAGTCCGACATAACCACCGGTGGGTAATATCCAAGGGGATTTCTGCACAGAAAAAAAAGGAGTTAAAGTATGAAATTACCGATTTGTACTAAAAAATTGAAACTCGTTTGAAAGATGTAACATTTTATTTAATCAAATATTAACCCCCATCTTCTTTGACCTTCGAGTATTGCACCGAAATTATAAATTCAAGTGGACTGTATTTTAAACTGTCTATTTCACTCATGTGGTATAAAAAGATTCGGGATGAAGCGTGTGTCTTGTACGCCGCTCGGTCGTCAAGGGAAGGCCCTCGTGATACCCTCAATTGCCGCAATCCTCGCTCCCGGCGCGCTCCGCCGCGTCCTCTGTTCCCTAGCTGGTGGCCTCACGCGTGAACCCAAATTATTTCAACAAATTAATATCTTTATCTATATCTAGCGGAAATTAAACTTTTTATTCATTAATATTTTTCGGACAATTGGCACACAACGCCATATATTTTAAAACTAAGCAGAGCTTGTATTATGAAAACTAGACTGACTGATAGAATACTTATTTACATTTTTTTGGTAAATACATACATATTATAGATAGATATTATCAATATTAATTGCGGCACTTGCAACGTCTAGTCCGAAATATAGAATTTTAGACATTTTTTTTTTAACTAGAGAGACTTTTTTAACCTGTTTGCTCACTTGTGAGCAAACAGGTCACCTGATGGCTATCGCCGCCCATGGACCCTCCACTTAGAATTCAGGATTGGTTTAAATCCAGTGCTTGACATCTTTCAAGCAGAAGCTGAACCAGGTCCTAATCGACTATCACGTGAGGTACCTACACGTAAAAATGTATTTTCGATTAAGCCTTGTATTAAGTTTCCCTTATATTGTGAGTGTATGTTCTTACGTCCACGAATAAATTGTTCTTCTTCTTTCTTTCTTCTTTCAATTAGAGGAGGAGAAGGTTGAGCTCACTCAATGAAAATCAACGAAAAATAGCCCTAACACCGATTGTCTGTGAGGCCTTCGTAACACTCAATGAGAGTCCATGTGATGACAGCTGTTTAATTAATACCAGAATTAATAATCAAGTGAACAGATTAAAAGTTCAAAGACTTAGAGACATAGGTTCAATGAAACGGACACGTTTGTATGATATAAATATTTATTAAAAAACTTATTCAATTATTTCCTAGACACAATCTTTACAAAGAAGACACGAGCTAGATCTGACCCCCTCCCCCCCCCCCCCTTTGATAAGATCAAGGGTGTCTTCTAGTAAATCAAACGTAAACAAGTGCTAAGTAACCTAAGTATATCACAGTTTTATCAATACTCAGTAATTATAAATAAATTTAACGTCACATATTAATACATTTAAAGGCCTTTTTTATTTATATGTTTATCATATTATAACAATTTATAATAGAAACATTCAAAACTATTCTTGAACTATTCATAACACAAAACTCGTACAAAATTATCAGTTTGTTCATTCCAAACTGTATTATGGTAACCAGACTGCCAATAAACATACTTATATAAGTATTACTAAACAATATATTGTAGGTATACTACCTATAATATCTATGAATGTATGTAAATCACGCTCAAACACAGAAGAAATGATCATGCTTCTTACACAACAATTTGTCGTAGGCGGGAAAAGAAACCACAACCTGTAATTTGGCAGACAAGATCACTCACTAGTCATCACGTTTCCACATATTGTTAAAATATTTAGAAGTAAAATTGTATTTATTTAAAATCTTATAGAAAATGAGTACTTATTATTGTTCATATGGGTATTTAAAGACTCCAAAATTTCATTATTCAATAATCGAGGAGCATCAATGGCCCAAAGGTAATCTAAATGATTGAACTGGGCATCGGGAACTAAAAACATTTCTGGTTTTGTAGGTAATTTCTCAGAAAGTGCTAAGACGTCCTTTTCACTTGACAACAAATCATTTCTAGACCAAAACAGTTTAATAGGAAGTGTTACTTTACTGAGATCATATTCAGGGGGTGTACGAGTCCCATAAATTTTCTTGTTGTAATAGTAGCCGTAATCAAAACGTTGGAATCTACCTTCTGAAAGAATCTCTTGAGAGAAATGTACAGCTGTCTTCCAAGAAGTACCCGTTCCCAAATGTGCCAGAAGAACTGGTAATAAAGTCTTATTAAATTGTCGCTCGTTGAAGCCACACATATAGAAAACAACATTCTGACATACCAAGGAGTCCATGTTTTGTACATTGCACGAATCAGAAATCTTCCCGAGCGCCGATTTTTTAGGTATGAATTCGTATATCCCTTGCAGCATATCCATTGATGCCAAATGAGCAGCAATAGGCGCCAATGACTTTAAAGGCGACTTCATATCTGAGAGGAATACAACTGGAGCTAAAGCGAAACCAGCTGTTAGTTTATTGTTGTATTCTGGCTTCATGGTCAACATTGCAAAAAGTATTGTCGTTCCCATCGAATGACCAATGTAAGTGATTTTGGTACTCTCACCTTTTATGTTAAAAATATAGTCAATGATCTCTGGGATATCATATAAAGCAACATCATGCCACGAAAAATCCCAATAAGATTTTGAATCAGACTTATAGAACACATGCTCTTTTGAATACCTATTTCCTCTAATATTTGTCATCCAAACGTCATACCCTGCATCTGCTAAAACATAAGCCAAACCTTTTCCAGGCCCATTTATGATCCAATCAGCAGAACTGGCAAATAAACCGTGTTGGAGAAGAACCGTCTTCGATGATACATTCTTCGAATTTTTAGAATGTGGAATCCTGTGTATGTTTAGCACATAACCTTTAGAAATGACGCTATGAGTTTCACATAAATATCCATGTCTTGAAATGATACTCGGCACCGTTAAAACTACGTCTGGGTTTTCCAACATCGGAGGATTTTCGCCTTCGGGTACATATGACCAGGTATCACTTATTTTCCTACTACTATCCCTCATATCTTCAACATAGTTGCTCCAATCATGTTCTTCAACAAAGTCGTTCCACTTATGAGTAATCTTCTTTTGTTGTTCTTCTACGTAGTTGTCCACAGAACCTTTCATCTTCAATGCATCATTATAACTGGACTTGACAAATGATTTCATTTTATCTCCACGTTCAAAAAAATCTTTGATTGTAGGTGGTTCTTTAAAAATGTAGTCGAAATTTGGTAATGACCAAGAGTCTGGTGTGGCACTTTGTATAGTGGTGCTTAGCAATAACAATAGCACTAATACGTCCATTTTGCTAAATTTTACGTATAGACTGCCTGTGAGACAGGCTAGCCGTATAATATACTGATGTTGCTTGACCCCGGAGATGGGGTCAAGACGTCATTTGATAACATTCATTGTCCAAGTAAATAAAAAAAACTACTTATATCTACGTCAGTTTTTTTCTTAGTATAGGTCTTCGGTTAGGGTCATGGACATTTTAATCAAAGGTCCCGAAACAAATACCTATTTATTGGGCAAACCATTTTAGATACGTCGACTAGACTACGGTGGCTGCCTCTTACACTCGCGCAGACGCCGCGCACGCAAAAAGTATCTGTTTTTTATTGTCTATTAAACCAAATAATAAAAATAAAAAAAATATTTGACCAATATAAATATTACAGTATAGGACATTTAAATTAGATCTTAGACAATAATTAGACTAAGTTACACTAAGGTAAAACTATAGTAGTGTTATTTTATTCTTATGATTGTATGATTCGTATCGTATGATTTTTTACACATAAAGGTATTAAGATTTAGTTCAAAACTGTAGGCGCTGCCTGCCTTAACTAAGGTAAACTTGTCTTTCATGCGATCGCATGACATATAATTTTTAAACCAACTAATAATTAGGTAGAAATGTAAGATAATTAAGTAGAAATGTATCATAATCGCTTTAAAAAGGTTCACTTTTTGTAAAAGTCGACAGTTTGCAAAAAGTTTACAACATTTTGACCTAAAAATTTAACTGTAGTTACAGGACCTCAACACCGAGAACATTCCGAATTTCAACCTTCTAACACTTTCCGAATGCGAGTTATAAATTTTCTAAATTTGCCCAAAAAAACGTGTTTTTTTTGCAAATTTCGGGCGATCTGATGGTCCAATTTTGCTCTCCAGTCCAGGGGTTAATTCTCTTTGTTTTTGTTGCGCATATTTGTTATTTTCAACTTATTTTCGTAGGAGCTTTAGTTTTCGCTCCAGATTCTAAAAACATGTTTTCACCATTTTTGGCATTTGTTATGCCACCTTAGCTGACAACATTTTGTTACAATTTTTATTGCAATCAATTCCTGATAGTTGAATCTTCAATTAAATATTTTTTTCACTCCTATAGGAATTTGCCAGATTTAACCATTTTTCGCTAATGTCTAGTGGTACAGAAAAAAAAGTAATTGAAACATAAAAACAACAAATCAATTTCTTGCACAAATATAGTGAGGTTAACTTAAACACATTTTGCGTTCCAAACATTTTGCGTTCCAAACATTTGTGACATCGAGTGGGCAAAGTGACAACTACAATTTACTTTTACATATTTTGCGCTATGAAAACTATTATCTGCTAGTTATGATAGTCAATTTCAGTATAAAATTTGATAATACAGTGAACTTAGTACATATTTCGGTAACTATTTATTATATTGTGTATCTTATTTGTTAATATTATTCCGTGTAGTGACGGATTAAGAATACGGAATGTCACTACCCCTATTCATCCCGTGGGTGTCGTAAGAGCCGACTAAGGGCGCAAAACAACGCATGATACCAGCACTGCAAAAAGAATTAAAACTTGACACAAACCCTATACCAACCCGTCTGGCCAGCGTGGTATAGTAGGCCAAAACCTCCTTTCTAAGGAGAGGCCTATGTCCAGCAGTGGACTATTAAAGGCTGTTGATGTGATGTGATGATTTGTTAATATTGTATTTTTTTCATTGCGTTGATTGATTTAGGTTCATAGTTAAATATATTAATATATTAGCATTAGTGCATGTAGTAAGTATCATTGTTAATTTCATTATTTATTAAAAAACGAAGATAATAAATTTACACAAATATATAAACTTAAAAATGTATGCAATAAAATATATAAATAAATGCAATTGATAAACATTTTGATTTATAAAAAGTGTATTTATGCTTGTATTATTTATCAATAATGTGATACTTTAATAATGTTTTGAAAGTTTACATATTTTTCGCATCTTGTACCACATTAGGCAGCTGATTATAGATTTTAGCACCTTCATACGAGTACATATTACACCTTTTTCCATAATTTGTTCGTGACTTTAACAGAAATATATCATTCTTACTCCTAAGACCGATTCTATGCACATTATTTTTTTTGTTAACTTTTCTTTACGTATGTGTATTATTAGTTATTATTTTTCTTATAAATATACAATTATTATATTTGTATGTCTGTAGAACAGTCATGATTTTGTTTTCCTTGTGGATTTTTGAATTGACATGAGAAAATTTAAATGAAATAATTTCTTAATTAGTTTATTTTGTGCTCTTTGCACGATATCTAGATTGCTTTTAGTAACTGCACCCCATACTTCTTTTAAGTAGTCTATATGCGGTTTTATAAATGTATTATATATTGTGATATGCAACGTAACATTCCTGCCAAACAGTCAAGTTTATTCCTTAGTTTTTGTATATGCGGTTTCAATGTGAGATGTTTATCCAAAATCAAGCCTAGGTACTTTTCTTGATTCACATGATGTTTTTTTTTCATTATTAATAGTTAGAGATGGAAAATTTATAAGTTTTTTTGGTTTTAGCCGAGAAAATAATGTAGTTAGTTTTAGAGGTATTACTAGTTAATAAGTTACTGAGAAACCACTCATTCAACCCTTCAAGGTCACTTTGTGCATCTGCAATCACAGTGTCAATTTGGTGGCGAAAATAAAATAACGATGTGTCATCCTCATATAAATTCAAGTCACCTTTTAGTCCTAATTGATGTATATTGTTAATATTTAAAAGAAACAGCAATGGACCTATAATTGACCCTTGTGGTATACCGTATGTAATATTTTTAGGTTCATTCATACTCTGCCCGACCTTAACAACCTGTCGACGATTGGTTAGATATGATTTTAACATACTATATTGTGTGCAACCCCGCCAATAATATCGATATCATTGAGCTTTTTCAGAAGGATTTCGTGACTAATTGTGTCAAATGCCTTCTTCAAGTCAATAAAAATAACTAGTTTTATTTGTTTGTTGTCAATATTGGTCTTTATTTTTGTTACTGAGTCTATAGTTACCGATAGCATATTAGACTTCGATCTAAAGCCATACTGCTTTGCAAATTTTGTAGACGACTATGTAAAACTCTTTCAAAAACCTTGACACAACCGGAAGAACCGATATTGGACGGTAGTTAGATTTATAAATCGGTGTTACTTTAGCAATTTTAAGGCTCTCAGGAAATATTCCCTGGTCAAGACATATGTTAATACAGTCGGTAAGTTCTCCGAGTATCAAAGGAGACACACATTTGAGAGATTTGGTATTCATACCATCTAAGCCCGTATTACTATCTAGACCCTGGATTATTCCGGCAATTTCAGTTGGGTTGGAGCAAACTGCGTAATTGTTTGACTATTGTTACTATGTATATCTTCTCCCGATGAATTAGTGTATATTGTCTGATTATGGTATCGTTTTGGAATTTTATTCGCTAGGGTTAAACCAATATTTGAAAAATGATCATTTAAATTATTGCTAAATCTCTTCATCGCTGATAATATATCCCTCTGCCTCTAATTAAAATAACTTTTGACCTACAACCGAAATGACTGACAATTCAATTAAACTTTAATTACTTTCATTCAAGTTTTTTGCTTGGTTAATTAAGAATTTTCAGCAAAAAAGTCTTCACAGACGGGCCTAGTGGTTAATGATTCTGTCTACTAACCCAGAGGTCATGCGTTCGACTCCCACCCAGGAGATATAATTGTGGGATGAGCGCGATTATTTGTTCTGTATCTGGGTGTAATTTATCTACAATATATAGGTATTTCGAAATATATATGTACTTACGTTTATCGATAGCCTGGTTACCATAGTACTGGTTATTATTATAATCCAACTGCTAGAATCCTGGGAGTCTATCTACATCAACAGTTTCAACTGTTAGCATATTATAAGTATCTATAAGAATTTATTAATACTCCTGACTTCCTCAGAATAATCCACTTATTATTTTATAAAGTGTTTTCATTGAATAAATTCCAAATATTGCGTGAATTTATGCCTGCGGCGGCTAATTTACGGGATTTCACATTCACTGAACTCTTAAGTATTTTAACCAAATTTTGGCTTAAATTTATATTCACCGTATCCGGAAAACAGTGAGGTGAAGGCGTGAAGTGATTTGTCGGAGCGGTATCAGACGTGCTCGAAATAACTCAGGGTTACAAGGAACAACACAAATATTTACAAAGTACAGCCAAGGCTAAATGTATTTTTTTATTTTAATTGGAAATTTATCGCTATCAATTAATTTATCGTTGACTGACCTGTTGGTCTAGAGATCCTAACTACTGAGGCAGAGTTCGCGGGTTCAATACGCACCTTAAACAAATAGTGTTTGATTGTGTGATGAGCACGATCACTATTCTATATCTCCGTGTAAAGTTATCCATAACATGTATGTATTTAGGTAATATATAAGTATATTTATCAGTGTCTTATCAGTCTTATTGCCATAGTACGGGCTGTATTTACTTTGGAATCAAACAACCTTGTGTAAGGTGAGTTAAGTTATGAAATAATAGTATAGCATTAAATGCTTTACGAAAACAAGAAAAACATAAATACGATAAGGTATATGCATCACATCACATCATCAACAGCCTACAACAGTCCACTGTACTGTACATGTAATCAATACACCGATAGACGGTATTTTATGTTTTTTTTTTTCATTTAATTAGTACGTGCACGCGCTTTTTGTGGTCCTAATTAGGACCCTCACGTTTTGTGCGTTGTTGGCGTATCTACCTCTTGTATGTATTTAATATCATTGATGTAAAATCTAGATTTTTCTACATTCTTACACTTAAACCGTGATGTACGTTATTACTTAGTGTTAGTTATTATGAAATATTACTAAATTTATTATTATTATACAATAATTATTATCATCAACTTAACAGATATCTCTGACATTGACATTATACAACAAAGACAGTGACATGTGACAATGCATTGGTAAGT